CCTAAAACACCCAGCGGTATGGGTGTAGGCGGTCTAAGGCGATTGAAGGGTAATATTTAAGTTCGAAGGGAGGGGGAGAAGTTAGACGCCGTCGGGTAGCCCGTAGGAAAACCTAAAACAAACAAAATCTTGAGGCCTGAAACAAACAGTATAGCGATTCTCCGGAGTATTTATATCCGAAGTTCGCCAGTAGCCCGGGTGGGGAGTTCCACTGAACCCAAACAATAGTCTCGTGCCTACAGACGCTTGGTGAATTTTATACTTTAAATCCGGAGCTTACTTGGATCGATATGCGATGGCGGAGTTATCTAGTTTCGACGAGTCAGGCCTATTGGCAAAGCTAGGATTGATTGTAGACGCTAAGTCCGCCGCGAAGGGACTCCGAGGGTTGCTGAGACGATAATTCTGGTACGCTGAGAGGGTGAAGTACAAAACTTGGATTTTCCACTACGCTCCATACATTTTTATGCTATTGGAATGGTTTTGCGTCCGCCCGGAGTTAAATAACAAATATGCTCCGCATCCCACACAATTACTCAGCCTTTGCCCACCGCTATACCATGTCCCATACGATCCTGCCGTGTTTCCACGTGCTCGTCCTAGGTCCTAGAGGTAGCCTCGACGCGTCAATGCTCGCTTGAAGTGCCTCATCACGCGGTACTGCAGGCTGATCACGTGCGGATTAGCTCCGGCCGCTTGCTGACTGATACGTTCCGTCTGGCCGTCGATTTACGTCCGCTGACTCGGTCGCTTTGACGGAAACGAAGGGGAGTGATGACTGGGGAGTGGTAATACCAATGACTCACTGCGACGCGGGCCTCCGCCGTTCCCGGAGATAATTAGTCACAAAGGTATTCTTCCGGGTGACTTCGGAGCGTCTGGCTGCGGAGCTAAATCATTTTGGTGATCTGCGCCTGCCTTGAGGACGTTAGAAGGTCCGGAATTAAATCCAGAACCCTTCGTCGGTTACTTGTCGCGTAAGAGGTTCGACAGGTGGTGTCGAATAAACTTTGGAGGGGATGTCAAATTTGCAATTTCGGGGGTCAGAAGATCGCTGGGGCTTATCACCGTGGGTTAGATAAAGAGCAGCAAACGCAGTGAATGAGGGCCCACAGATATCTTGCCACCCAGTGCACACCTGGCCCATGTCACATTGGGTCACATCCTTTGATACCCAGGGAGGAACACTCCCACCGCCGCGCAGGGAAGCTTGCTCTCTAGAGTAATCACCACAATTTGGAGCCACATCGGGGAATCTACCTTCACACATTAGATGTGCCCTGCTCTGACCAAGTTGTGTCCCACCCTCCAGCAGCGTGCCACTGGCAATTGCCTGTATGACCATGGTATCCAGTCTTCAGAGTCGGTATGATGGGCACTTTCAAAACACTTGCCTGGCCAAGTGATAACACTGGGCCAGGCATCTGATAGATACACCAGCAATATTGCGGATGGAAATGAGGAGAGCATGGCTGTGCATAGGAAGGTATTATTTATTCATTTAAGTATACAAGTAGTAATTGCAATCAATTGATTACTTAATGATGAACAATAGATAATAAGATGGCAGCTATGAAATAGACCGCTAGGGATAGAAGAGGCAGTTGCAGGCTCCTAAACCACCGTCCTTAGCGTTCTCGCTCCTCCTTTACTAGGGCGCACGTGCAATGTTATGTAATACAAATCTATTTTTAATTTATTACCGGATACAGAACGAACAGAGGAGGAGAACGCTATAGGACGGCTGGAAGAAATCGTCTCCCCGAGATCACCGAGTATGACTAAGCATTCCAAAAGCGGTAGCGGCTGAGGCCTTCCACGAGTAGTCGGCGGAGTGTAGTACAAGCAGTTGCGCGCATACCTATAGAATTCAAAGCACATTCTATTTGTATATAATGCACCAATGGTCTGACATAGACAAAAGCAAATACAAGCATTGACAGTGTCACTGAGGGCTGAACATCGGGTTCACAAGCCTTGATAAATTCCTCTGAGGGACAATAGTTCACGGGGGGTGTTTACACTGGGGGAGTACCAGTAAGATAGCTTTTTATGCCTTTCTATATAGTTTTTATCCCTCCTAGTTTTCAGGTGCTCCTTGCATTGCCCGCCGACTGCTGGTGGAAGGCCTCAGCCGCTACCGCTTTTGGAATGCTTAGTCATACTCGGTGATCTCGGGGGGACGATTTCTTCCAGCCGTCCTATAGCGTTCTCCTCCTCTGTTCGTTCTGTATCCGGTAATAAATTAAAAATAGATTTGTATTACATAACATTGCACGTGCGCCCTAGTAAAGGAGGAGCGAGAACGCTAAGGACGGTGGTTTAGGAGCCTG